GGAGAGAGAGAGGGAGGGAGGATGTCAGGAAGGAAGGATATTTTTTGTATAATTAAATAAAATGAAGCCATAGCTAGAAGGATTCATCCCACACCCTCCTTCCCACTTCCCAGCAGAGGCAAGAGAAATCGCTTGTTATATCCCAACTCTTTTCATCAGACCTGATCAAATACTAATCTAATTGGAGATGCACCAACGCCCCCCGGGAGAGGTTTAGGGATCCCTTGGCCACAGCTGTGAAACTCACCTGTCCAAGCCTGGTGAAAAATCTATAGACCACGGAGGTTTTGCCATGGATTGACTCACCGCTACTGTCCCCTTCTGACATGGTGGCTGGAGGAGGGGAGGGAAAAACCACAAAGAATTGAGCGCACCACAGTACAAGCTCCTAGGAAATGCCCCTTGCCCGACGTGACAGTATAAAGATTCATTTAACGACCGCTTGAAGTTACAACAGCATTGAAAAACAGCGACCTGTGAATGTTTTTTAAAAAAAAAAAAACTTTACGACCCTTGCCCCTTCCCCGTCGTCACGGGGCCAAAATTCAGACGCTTGGCGACCGACTCGTATTTACGACAGTTGCCGTGTCCTGGGGGGGAGGGGCTCAGGGGATCCCCTTTTGTGACCTTCTGACAAGCCACGGGGGAGGACCGCCAGATGGTTTTGACCTAACTTCGTGAGCGCAGCAGCGATCCGCCGAACCACCGTAAAATGGGACGCAATTAGTCCCACTCCGCCGGGGAAACGTCGGGCTCGATCATAGTCGTAAGTCAAGGACTACCCATACAAAGTGTTCCCACTTGGTAGAATTGGCGTGGATTGATTCTGGGGTGGAGGAGAGTTGGGATTGCAAGACTGGGTGGAAAAGCCTTTTAATAAATCCTGCTCAATTCCCACCGGGGTTTCCCAGACGAGGTAAAACACACTAACACCTCTATTGCTGGCTATATTTTACTCCGAGGTGTGTTTGTAGAGTAGTCTGCCTCCCCTTTGGAGGAAGGCTTCAAAGCAAAAATAAAAATAAAAATCCCCTTTTCATTCCAAAAGGGGGATGAAACTTGATCTACCACCTTTCCTTCCTTACGGAAGAAAAAGAATCTTCAATAGCTTAAAGTCTTCTTGGACCACAAATAAATACGAAAGACTTAAAAAGGACTTTCTACAGCGGTTCTTTTGGGGGAAAGCTTGCATTTATCTTTAAGCCACCCTGGGGGAATTGCTGGAGCGGCTGCCCTGCCACATCAGCGAAAGCATGACACAATTTCCTGGTACGCCAGGAGGGCGGGGAAAATGGAAATTCACTTTTTTTTTTCCAGGAACAGGAAAGCAAAGAGGGATTTTGGCAGGACACGGGGTGAAGTGCTGCCTGCAAAGAAAATAACTGGAAAATCAGGAAGGACAACAAAACAACCTTTTGACCAGGAATTTGGAATCTGTTGGAAGGTCAAGAAGAACATTAGCCTAAGGAATCGGGTTTTGCTAAATGCTAAAAGATTTTCAGCCAAGGTGAATCCAAGTTTTGTGATTGTTAAGCCACCCCCTTACGAATTCCCACGCAGGGCATCGGTAAGAATATTCTCATCATAAAACGGCAAGGAGGAAGCACAATGTGGGGGAGAAAAAGAAAGAAGTGATAAACCACCGCAACAATAACCGAAAGTTGAATATATATATATATAAATCTCGGCTTGATATCCAGTAAAATCAACCAAGCCTCCAAGGTCACACATCCCTCCAAATTACAATTGAACACTGGCTCTTGGTCCATCCGCCATCACTTCAATGAGTAAAACTGAAGTTAAGAGAGTAAGTTTTAGCACAGTGGGAAGTCACTAAGGATGAGAATTAAAAAAAAAACTGGGATGCTATTGGGTTAGTCCGGGATAATCTTAAATTTTAATTCGATCCCAAGGACTTATCTGGATGTTACTTTTGACTCCATATTGGAAAACGAGGTCAAATCCCAATAGGACGTATAAGGCAGCTGGGTTGGGGGGAAAACCCAGAATTTCTCCCCAGAAAGTTCCACTTTTCCAACAAACTGAACTAAAAGCTGGAAGGGCTACAGCGGGGTTAGCTTTCAAGGAAGCTGTTGGTCGCTAAAACACTTGTAACAAGGGTGCACAATTTTGGCAACTTTAAAACTTACAGACTTCCCTAGCTGGGGGAAATCTGGGATTTGAACTCTTGGCTTAAAATAGCCAAGATTGGAGACTCAACTTTAATCTTTGCATGCTATCCTTTCCAGTCCAAGGGAAGCCCAGTTTTCCATATTAATTTTAGAGGCAATTCCAGCCAGTGAAACTAACCGTGTTTCAGTTTTGTGAACTCTTTTTATTATTACCGTGCCAAAAATTATAAATTTTTCTCCCCCGCCAGACAAGCAAGCCGCAGAAATTGCAATTCGCCGATTCTGCAAAAACCGAGACTAGAATGACAAGTCCCTAATAACAGAATAACAGAGCTGGAAGGGACCTTGGAGGTCTTCTAGTCCACCTCACCCCTGCTCAAGCAGGAGATCCCATGCCATTGCTCTCCGGTCTCTTCTGCGATGGAACACCCGCAATTTTGGGAGGCAAGTTCTCAAAAAAAGCCAAGCAGGATAAGAATCCTAATTTATAAACGTCGCGGGGGGGGGGGGGGGGAAGGTTCCGCTTGGCGCAGGGTTTCAAGCGTGAAGTTTCTTTCGTACAATATTCAAAGCAATTCTTTAAAGTTTATGAGTGCCAGTGGCTGCATTTTCACCTAAAAGCGGATTTAAAAAAAGCTTTAATTACGGCTTAGGCTGTTACATGAACAGAAGTGCCAATGTTTCCTAAAGGGGAGCAAAGCTGAAAGGATGATTGACACTTAACTAGGCGCGCCTCGAAGAAAAATTCAAAGGGGGGGGGAATCCCTCCACAAGGTGTGTAAACTAAAGAAATGTCTCCTGGCTGATGCCTGTCATTCTTGCCATTCAACTATTTGATTAAAGGAGAGGGTTTTTTTTTCTTGAATAATTATGGCCCAAGTTCAACCAACTTGTGAATTTTCTCCCGTGAAACTGGTGGGAAAATGAGGATTTTCTCAAGACATTTGTCATCCCACTCAAGAAGGTGGGAGATGTAGTAGTTACACCCCTAACCTTAAACTAATGGTTTATCTCAGTCCTTGCAAACCACGAATGTTGGCTCAGTTCCTCCCTTGGGCTAAGCCACGATTGAGGGGAAAGGCACCACCAGGTGAGCGAAAGCCAGAGGATTGGGTTGCGAATGGGGATTATCTTGAATCAAGAGGAGAAGATGGGTCCCAATCTCCCCATTAGAAACTGAAGGGTGGATCTGGGTGCGAATCTTCACGCTGCCGTAAAGCTCCTTGGCTGACCAACCTCACAAGGGGATAAAAATGAGGGGCCACCCCAACCCCAAAATAGATCGGCCAGAGGTCTAAGAGGCAAAAACGGGGCACACGTCCTACCATGCATCTAGTCCTCAACAAACCCAACACTTCCCTTGCTAAGAGCGACCCTTGATAAGCGAGGGTCGCCCCATTTTACGACCTCTCTCATTAAGCGAACCGCCGCCGTTGCGAAGTTGGCCACGCGTTTGTTAAGCGAATCTGGTTTCCCCCCACCCGCCCCCGGTTGATTTTGCTGATCCCAAGGTCGCAAAAGAGGGCAGGGGGAGAAATCCCGCGATTCCGGGGAACCCCGCAACTGTCATAAGTACAAGTCAGTTGCCAAGCGTCTGAATTCCGATCACGTGACCCCGGGGAATGCTGCAAACAGTTGCCCAATGTGAAAAAGGGGTCCCAAATCACCCCCCCTCCTCCCCCCCCAGCGCGGCTGTCACTTCGAGCGGTCACTAAACGAACCAGTCACTAAACGGATCATTGTCTGTCAAGGACCACCTGCACCATGGGTAATTCCAATCCAGCACTCAGGGCATATCCCCCCCCCCTTAGTTCTGGACTACAGTTCCCATTCTCCTGGCTGGGGATGATGGGAGGAAGGAGTCCAAGAGAATTTGATCGAAGTAAGGCCTCCTTATGCCCCCAAAAAGGGGGATGCATCCTCCACCATCACCCAAGTGGGGGGGACCCCATTAGGGAAAACTGGGGAGGGGGCATTAGAGGCCCACTAGACGACCCTCCCCACCCCCAAACACACACCCGCCCTGAGGCCAGTAATTAAAGTTGGGGTCCTCCCAAGCACCGCCCCCCCTCCATGTCTCCCCCGACCTGGAAGGCCTGGTTGCCAAGGCAACGGCCAGGCCGCGGCCTAGTCGGGCCGGGGGCAACTCACCAGGCCGCGCCGGGTGTCCCCTCCTTCCGCTTCCCGCCCCGCCTGAACAGGCAGAGGAGCCGCCGCCGCCGCCGCCGCTGCCGACTCCTCCTCCTCCACCTTCCGAGATGGCGGAACCGCGCGGCCGGCAGAAGAGCTTCCGCTACCGGGGCGAAGAGGAGGAGGATGAGGGTGGATGGAAGAAGGCCAGGCAGCCGGGAAGCCCCCGCGGGACAAGAGGCCTGCTGGATTGGAGGAAGCCTGGCCTCGGTTACAAGGCCCTCAAGTTCGGGGGACTACAGCTCCCAGAATGCCTCCGCTTAGCTACTCGCCCCGCGCGCCGTTCGCCAAGGCGGAGAAATTACCGCTCGCAGAATGTCTCAGATAGTCAAGCTATAGGTGCGCCGCTCAGGCAGGGGAAACTACCGCTCCCAGAATGCCTCAGCCACCCCAGCCGTGGGCGCGCCGCCAAGTTGAGGAAACTACCGCTCCCAGAAGGCCTCAGGCAGCCACGCCGCTTTGAGGCATTCTGGGAGCGGTAGTTCCCTCCACGCAGAGTTCGTTGGATTCTGTATTATGCCCTAGGGATGGGCGATCCCAGCGGATTGCAGACCTTTAGCCCAGCTGGCACGAGGGTGGGGCGGAGTAATCCCCGCCCGGACTTCCTGCTGCGGTTTAGGGGATGTGTAGTCGCCCCGTTTGCCAGCAGCAAATTGTCCCCTCTTAACCGGGGTGGGGAGTAGGACAGATATATCAAAGGGTTGATTGATTGACACAGCCTGCCTTTCTCGGTCCAGGACGCAGCGACCACAGCCTCTCTGGCAGGGATGCTTTTTTCTCCACCTGGCCTACCTCTCAGGGCTGTTGTGTCGATAAAGTGGCTTATACAGACGTAACAGGTTTAACTACTCGGGCATCCAGCTTGCTTTCAACCACGTGCCACGGCCCAGCCTGGGGGGGGGGGGAGCGACTGCAGATCCCATCATCCCCAACCCCTATGGTTAAAAGTCAACTAACAGGAGTTGGAAGGGACCCTGGAGGTCATCTAGTCCTACCCCCTGCTGGCTCAGCAAGCCATATAGCCTTTATGTATAAAATCCATCCTGCGTTTTTCCTGGGTTGGAGATGCCAAACTCCGCGAACTCCCCGCACCGTGCGGATTAAGATTAAGCGTTAAAACCACCTCTAGTTGCTTTTCTTATCCCTGGGAAACGCAAGCCTCCCCGCGCATGCGCGCCACGCAGAAGCCCGAACCTCACACAGACACCCCTCCCCTCCGAGGAGAAAAAACCCGCACAAGAAGCCTCGCCTCCTAGCAACGCGACAGCCAATCAGCGGCGGGTTCCGATGGCGGCAAAAACAGCGTCCCTTGAGGGAGAGGGGGGAAAATGGCGGCTGAGGGAGCCGTTTACTGTGGGGAGATGAAGGACCAGCGGAGGAACGGTGAGGGGATGGGTTGCCGGGGGTGGGTGGGTCACGGCTTGGCTGTGCTGTGTGGAGGAGACGACGGGGAGAAAAGGAGGCCGGGAGAGAGGCGTGTCCCCGCGAAAGGGGGCTCGGTTGGCTCCAAGTGGAGCCTCCTGAGGCAGGAGCAGTCTACCGGAATGCACATCCGAAGGCTGGAGGGACAAGGTTGTGGTTGGCAAGTGTCGCCCTGCAGGAATTGGATGTTCTCGGAAACCCCTGCCCCGCTTATTGTTGTTGTTATTATTAATTGTTATTATATTTATTAAACATGAAACGCAGTCAACTGAACATTAAAAAATGCATCGCAAATACCATTGGCTGGCGCTGAGGGTGATTTCTCTATTGTCTTTGGTTGCCCTGGTTGTTTATTATTGTTGTTACTATTACTATTATTGTTATTATTTACTTTATTCATGAAACATGAAACTCAAGTCAGCTGAACATTAAAAATTGCATCGCAAATACCATTGGCTGGCGCTGATTTCTCGATGGGTCTTCGGTTGTCCAAGTTTTTTTTATTTTTATTATTATTGTATACTTTATTCATGAAACATGAAACTTAGTTAACATTAAAAAATGCATCGCAAATACCATTGGCTGGTGCTGATGATGATTTCTCTATTGTCTTTGGTTGTTCTGGTTGTTTATTATTGTTGTTGTTGTTATTATTATTTACTTTATTCATGAAAAATGGAATTCAGTCAATTGAACATTAAAAAATGCATCGCAAATACCATTGGCTGGTGCTGAGGATGATTTCTCCATGGTCTTCGGTTGTCCAGGTTTTTTATTATTATTGTTGTTATTGTTGTTGTTGTTGTTATTTACTTTATTCATGAAAAATGGAATTCAGTCAACTGAACATTAAAAAATGCATCGCAAATATCATTGGCTGGCGCTGAGGATGATTTCTCCATGGTCTTCGGTTGTCCAGGTTTTTTATTATTATTGTTGTTATTATTGTTGTTGTTGTTATTTACTTTATTCATGAAAAATGGAATTCAGTCAACTAAACATTAAAAAATCCATCGCAAATACCATTGGCTGGTGCTGATGATTTCTCTATTGTCTTTGGTTGTTCTGGTTGTTTATTGTTGTTGTTGTTGTTGTTGTTATTAACTTTATTCATGAAAAATGGAATTCAGTCAACTAAACATTAAAAAACCCATCGCAAATATCATTGGCTGGCGCTGAGGATGATTTCTCCATGGTCTTCAGTTGTCCAGGTTTTTTATTATTATTGTTGTTGTTATTATTGTTGTTGTTGTTGTTGTTATTTACTTTATTCATGAAACATGGAATTCAGTCAACTGAACATTAAAAAATGCATCGCAAATACCATTGGCTGGTGCTGAGGATGATTTCTCCATGGTCTTCGGTTGTCCAGGTTTTTTATTATTATTGTTGTTATTATTGTTGTTGTTGTTATTTACTTTATTCATGAAAAATGGAATTCAGTCAACTAAACATTAAAAAATCCATCGCAAAT